CCCCAAAACCCCAAAACCCCAAAACCCCAAAACCCCAAAACCCCTAGTTCAAGTTATTTTATTGATTTTGTAATAATTTTCAGCAATGAACCAGTCTTCCCACCTTAGTGTCGTTAATCGGAGTATTTTGAGAGAGAATGAGCCTTTTAAGAATGAAACTCCTGAAGTTTTTAAGTTATTGCATTCTAAACAAATGAGGTAAGTTAACCCTTCTGTTTAATGAATTTTTATTATCCAGGTTTTTGTGGCATCATTTTATTTCTATTTTATAGTGAGGCATCGACGATGAATGAATCTTTCTCGACTGCTGCAGATATGAGTAGGGTCTCTTCCCAGAAGTTTTCTACCTTAAACATAAAGAGAGATCACTTTGTGCCGAAAGTAAAGAAGAAGGAATTCTTAAACCCCTATTTCTTTGTAAGCCCATGAGGTTTATTTTTAGATGAAACCTCCCAAGAATTATGGTAATCCTACCTCCTCTAGTAACTTCACGAGAGGCTTCAGAGTGGATAATATTGAAATTGGTAACCAAAGGATGCACTACGAGAAACACTTGGAAAGAACTACGAAGGAGCAAAAATTCAGAGATTCCAAGACAGCGAAGTCCCGGAAGTATGCGCAGTATTTAAACTGCACTAATCCTATTTCGACACCGAAAATCCATTTCCAAAAACCTATGAAAAAGTACTACCATGTAAGTTTTGCCGAGGCTAATCTTTAGGATGGATCAGCAAACCCTAGTGCTGTACTGAGATGGATGAACACCAGAAAACTAGGAGATACTTTTATTGAAGCCAGGAAGGACAGGAACAAATCCGAAGTCAGAGAGTTCCAGAAGTTTAGAAACGAGAGAGACATCCTTGATGTCACTGATGGAAATAGGAGGTACAAGAAGTACAGTAAGAAAGGACATATAAAAGGAATCATTCAGAATGAATATGGCAGAAAGAGTAAGTTTGAATTTTTCATCAATACTTCCTGCCCAAACTCCTGTTATAACCTACTGTATTACCGTTTGCGTATAGCTAGCTTAGCGGTGAACAGAAGTTGCGAGGATCTGACTGGAGTCACCAAGATGTACTTATCCGATACTAATTTCTACAGTAAGTCTTCATACAATTATCAAATAGAGATGAACTCATCTAGACAGAGAGAAGGATCAATTACTTTTGGATAATAAGAATGTTTCAAGTGATAATAATCTTCAATTACCTATCTCTTGAATGGGGTTTTGGGGTTTTGGGGTTTTGGGGTTTTGGGGTTTTGGGGTTTTGGGG